AGCCTCAGAGAATTCGAAGGAAACCATCGGGAATCCATCGGAATCCCTGAGGAAGCTTCAGGGCATTCCTATTGGATCCTTGTGTAATCTTAGAGATCCCGTAGGGATTTCTCAGGACTGGTTCCTAAGGACCCCCTCGGGATCCTGAGGAACTCGGAAGGATCCCCTCGGGAATTTATAAGGATCCCTAAGGACCCCTTAAGGATTCTGGGAAATTCCCCGGGTATTTCTAAGGATCCCCTGGAACTGGAGATCCTGAAAGGATTCCTCGGGGAATCCTTTTGGAATTCTTCCGGGTTTCTTAGGGTTGCCCTAGGGCTCCCCGATGAATATGTAAGGATTCCTTTGGGATGCTCCAGGGTTCTCTAGGGTTTCCGGAGGATTCATTCCTAAGAGTTCCCCTCGGGATTTCCCGAAGGATTCCTTTTGATTCCTTGGGGATTCCCAAGGATTCCCTAGGGATCCCCCCGGGGCTGGCAGTGGCGTCAGCACTCCAGAGTGCGCGGCCGCCGCCGTGGAAGGCGCCCCAGCAAATTCTTCCGCTCGGAAGAGGCGTCTCCCGGGGCCGGCTGGGGCGTTGCTGCACCCAGGCGCGCGGCCGCCTGATTGGAAGGACCCCCAGGGGCCGGCAGAGCGGGCGGCACACTTGACGCGCGAACGCTCTTGAACGGGGCCGGCAAAGGGGTGCCACCCCCTCTGCCAGCCCCTGGCCGGGGCCGGCAAAGGAGTTGCTACGTTGTTGCTGTTGAGTGTTAGTTATTCGACAAGTATTATTGTTGGACCCCCCCCAGGCGCTTTGGCGCTCTCGCTTCGGTGCCGGCTACATTTTCATTGAAAATGAGGCTCACGCTCGAGCGGTTTGGGGGGGCGCCAAAACCGGCCGCCCAACAGCAACAACAACAACAACAATCATTTTACCCGAACGCTCAGTGTTCTCACCAGTGCCAGGGTTTTCATGCGACGCGAGACAATACCCCCACTTCGTGGGGGGGCAGTTCAAGCTCTACCAAATATCCAAACGACTCTTCGCGACCACCCAAACCCAGCTTCCCGCCCTATGACGTTGGGACACTTCACTTCGTGGCGTGCGGACGACCGTGGCTACTACACTGGCGTGGGGTACACACCCACAGAACTTGGTCACTTATTCGGGGCGCGCGTGTGCCCAGCATCCTGCAATTGTGACATACAATACATGACACAGACAGACAGAGAGAGAGACAGAGAGCAGACAGAGAGAGAGACAGAGAGAGCGGAGTTGGTCACATTTTTGGGGCAAGTTCCTGAGATCGTCGTGTTTTTTGTTGGTCTTGCGCGCGCGAATGTCCACTTTACTTTTTTTTGCAAGGGAGTATTGAAATTTGATTATGTTAGAACAAGAAAAAGTAGCTCGCGCGAGCTCATGTAACATAAATGTTGAAAAACCATTGGTTTTGTGGGAGTCGGACAGCGCGCGCGGGATGAAATTTGGACATTTTTTTTTGAAAAACCATTGGGTTTTTGATGTTTTTATGTTGAAATCGTTACGAAACCTAAGGTTCTGGAAGGATTTCGTCTTGCGCGCGCGAATGTCCACTTTACCTTATTTTTTGCAAGGGATTATTGAAATTTGATTATGTTAGAACAAGAAAAAGTAGCTCGCGCGAGCTCATGTAACATAAATGTTGAAAAACCATTGGTTTTGTGGGATTCGGACAGCGCGCGCGGAAGGACATTTTGACAATTTTTTCTTAAAAAACCATTGGGTTTTTGATGTTTTTATGTTAAAATCGCTACGAAACCTAAGGTTTTGGAAGGATTTCGTCTTGCGCGCACGAATGTCCACTTTACCTTATTTTTTGCAAGGGATTCTTGCAATTTGATCAAGTAAGAACAAGAATTTTCATTTTATAGTGTTTTTTGCAAGGGAAAACGGATTACAACAAAACAACCGGATCCGGACACAATCCACTTTTCTGAAGCTTTCGCTAGAAAATGAAGGAAATGAGGCTGCGGCCTAGGTTTTGGAGGGGGGTCGCGCACCAGGGGTCCCAACAATAATAATTCTTTAGAAGGAATAATATTCAACAACAATTACTAGCACGTGGGGACACTCCGTTCTCACCAGTGCCAGGGTTTTCATAGGAGGCGGGCAATACCCCCACTTTGTGGGGGGGCCGGTTCAAGCTCTACCAAATTTCCAAACGACTCTTCGCCACCACCCACACCCAGCTTCCCGCCCTATGACGTTCGGACACTTCACTTCGTGGCATGCGGACGACCGTGGCTACTATTCAGGGCCCCGCGGCCGACGACGACGGCGTGCGCGCGCGAAGAAAAAACGAATGTGTCCCGCATGGTATTATTTGACAGGGATGATGGCCCTGGCAGGTGCGCAACCGTTGTTGCAGAAGTTCGAAAAAGTTGCTCGCAAAAGCCCGTTTGACAGAAATGTTTAAAAAGTGTTGGGTTTCCTACGAATCCGCAAGAGCGCGCGGGATGAAATTTTGACAATTTTTTTTTGAAAAACCATTGGTTTTTTGATGTTTTTATGTTAAAATCGCTACGAAAACTAAGGTTTTGGAAGGATTTCGTCTTGCGCGCGCGAATGTCCACTTTACCTTATTTTTTGCAAGGGATTCTTGAAGTTTGGTTATGTTAGAACAAGAAATGTCCACTTTAGCTTATTTTTTGCAAGGGAAAACCGATCGTAACAACACAACCGGATCCGGACCAACCCGTTTTGCCTGAGACTTCCTCACGAAAATGATGAAAATGAGGCTGCGGCCTAGGCGCGGCGGGGGGGTCGTGCACCAGGGGTCCCAACAATAATTATTCTTTAGAAGTAGTAATGTTCAACAACAACAACAACAACAACAACAACAACAACAACAGCGCTCCCGCTCGAGGCTTCCTCCTTTTTTACTCAGGGCCCGTGCTCTTGCTCGCCGCCGAAAGCCGCCGTCCCAACAAAACCAGCGTTCCCGCTCGAGACCTCCTTTTGTTTTACCTTGGATTGGTGCGCCACTCTTTCTCTCATCGGCGCCGCCCCCAGCAACAACAACGCTTACGCTCGAGACTTCCGCATTTTTTTACTCAAGGCGGTGCTCCTCCTCGTCGCCGACAACCGCCGCCCGAACAAAACCAGCGCTCCCGCCCGAGATTTCCCTCCGTTTTACACTGGACTGGCGCCCAACCCTCTTTTGCATCGGCGCCGCTCCCAGCAAGAACAACGCTCCCGTTGGAGGCTACCTCCCTTTTTCCTCAAGACGGTGCTGTTCCTCCCCGCCGACAGCCCCCGTTCCGACAAAACCACGGCTCCCGTTCGGGTTTTCCTCCCTTCTTACTCAAGGCGGTGTTCCTCCTCGCTGCCGACAACCGCCGTCCCAACAAAACCAGCGCTCCCGCTCGAGAGGTCGTCTTGTTTTACGCTGGACTAGCGCTCTACTCTTCAGCACTGGCGCCGCTCCCAGCAACAACAGCGGCCCTGCTCGAGACTTCCCCTCTTTCTATTCAGGGCTAGGTCCTTGCCTCGCCGCCGACAGCCCCCATCCCCACCAGGGCGATCCTGTCGCTCGATACTTCCTTGTGCTTTACCCTTGGCTGGGGCTCCACTGGCGGTCTCGCATCGGTGCAGCAAGGCGCGGGCATGTGTTCTCGAGGCGGGATATGTTGAAATTCCTCGGAGGAGTTGTTTGCAAGACCTCATTGGGCGGGAGATCTGGGACTGGGAATAATCGACCCCGCTATAGACCAATAGTCCCCCATGGTGGGGATGGTTATCATGATGGTCGCATGCTTCTTGCGGAAACATCGCGCATGAGTGTAAGCTGATTGTTGTTGTTGCTGTTGTTGTCGTTGAACTCTCACGTCTGAAGAATAACGATTGTTGATCCCCCCCTCCGGTGACCATTCTGTGTTTTTTCAATTGAAGTGATTCCCCCAGGGCTCGCACCCTGTCTTTTTTACGAGGGAAAGTCACTAGGCTCAAACTGGGCCCCTGGCCCCCAGTTGACAACAACAACGGTTCCCGCCTGATATTGCCTCACAATGTATTCCCAAATCGCGTTCTCGCGCGGGAGTTCCTCACAATTCAAGTACGCATCGCGCTCTCGCGTGGGACTTCCCTCGCAATTTCTTCAGACGCCGCGCCCTCGACACTCAGGAATCATGCTCTCGCTGTGGATTGCTTCACGATTTACTTGGGAACCGCGTTATCGCTTGAGACCTCTTCGCCATTAATTCACGACGCACGCTTCAGCAACCCGCCTGCCCCTTGTCCCTTGCTTCCATCCGTCCTCTTTTCCCCTGCCTTAGGGGCTGCACGGAATAGGGCCCCCCCCGCGGGACAACCCTTCGAGATTCGATGCTTGCTCTTCGTCGTCATGTTTCTGATCGGGGTTCCTCCTCAGCTTCCTCCGAGTGCAGTCCAACCTTCCTGGCGGGTTCATGGGGCCCCTCGAGGTCCATCGGAGCGGTGCGGAGCGACTCCCAATTCTTCGTAGTAAAGAACAGACATTAGCAGTCAGTGGTGGGATGGCGGAGGGAGGGAGGGGAGGAGGGAGGCAGAGGGTGGAGGGCAGCGCTTGGGGAGATGGGGATGGAGAGGCCGAAGGGGGGAAAGAGAAGTGAACAAGAGCCGGAGAGCCAGCAGTGCATGAGAGCCGCAGACGGGGCTCATTTCGGTTCCGCCGCCCCGATACAGTTTCGATCTCGGTCGTTTCCGAATCTAATTCGACTCGATGTCGGATTTAAATGTGGATTTCGTCTTATCAGTGAAGACCTTACTAACCTATCGATTTCGACCGATGCGACTTCTCCCGACCTGGCTGCCGATTTCCGCCGATCCGACTCGTTCCGATCGCCGATCCGACTTATCGAATCGATTCCGAGCCTTCCTGGGAGGAGGGAACAGGAGTCGCTGAGCCAGGAGTGCAGGAGAGCCCAAGGGGTATGTCTGCACGTGCGCTCATGCAGAGCCAGAGAGCGAGGGCATACGCATCGCGTGCTCGCTGTCTCAGGAACAAGCAGGCAAAGCATGGATAAGTTCTACAGGACAGGCAGTACAAGGCGCAGCCGCAGCTTTTCCACCGCATCTGCAAACGAGGAGATGATGAGGAACATTCTTGACGCGTCGCGCGTTCCCACCAGCCCATCCAGAAACATATCGCCAGGTGAGTTGCCTTGATCAGGGAAGTGTAGAAGCATGCAATGCAACAACTGCCTTTGGAGTGTTTTGTCGGAAGTCTCTTGGAGCCATCTTGGGTCTCTCTTGGGGTCCTCGCGGAGCCACTTGGGGCACTCTTAAGGCTCTTTTCGGGCTTCTAGGTGCCCTCCTGGGGCTCTTTGGGAGGTACTGGGATGCCTCTTGGGGCCATCCTGGCCCCCGAGGCTCAAAAAGAGAAGGGAAACGGATTTGGGTCCCCCCCCCCTCCCCCCCTCGGAGGCTCAAACATTTAGATTTCAGGCGTTCTGGAGCCGTCATTGGAGCGCCGCTCCTGGGCGCTCTGTGGGCCGTTTTGGAACCTTCTTGGGTCCCTCTTGGGGCTCCTTCGGGCCATCTTGGGCCACCATGGGGCCTCCGATGCCCATCGGAAGCGATAAGGCGAGAAGGCAACAATCAACCGTTTTCCTCAGGTATTGGAGCCATTTTGGCCTCTTGGGGGGGTCCTCGGAGGGCTCGGTGGGCACGTGAAACCATGTCGGGGCCGTCTTGAGGCCTCTTGAATATGCGTTGGCGGCTATCTTGCGCCATCTTGGGTTATCTCGAGCCATCTTGGGCGATCTTGGGCGCTCTGACCGACCGCGTCCTCCCACTCCCAGGTCCAGGGGAGGGGGCAGGTGGAGGGGTCAAGCTACCCACCCGCCCGCAAACCGTCTAGCTCACTCCCACCTGCCCTCCCAACACAGGAGTAACACCCGAGCCTGAGCATGTTCAGCGGTCGTCGTTGGATTGACAGCTACTGGGAACCAACGCCGACCCCAGGTGCGCGACGCTTGGGCGAGGTGCGCGACGCTTGGGCCAGGGGCGCCACGCGCGCCGGGCAACCCTGGGACCCGAGCGTGCCAGGCACGCCTGGTGCGCCAGATGCGCCACGTGCTCCGAGTGCACCAGGTGTGCCACACACTCCAGTCGCGCCTGGTGCGCCACGTTCGGGGCACGTGTAGAGCGACAGGTGCGCCTGCGTACGTGACAGCTCACATCGGAAAACATGTCGGCCGCCGCTATCCTTGTCGAAAACCAGTGCCCATCATTGTGTCTGGTGGGCCTGCGCACAGCAGGCCACGCGCCACCACCCGCGCCGTCCCTGTCAAAAACCACTTGACAGTGATCTTGGGATGGCCCTGCGCACAGCAGGGAATATGCTGACACCTCGCCGTCTTGGTCAAAACCAATACAAAGGTCTCGCGGGCCTCACGAACATGACTCAAGACTTTGCCCCAAAGTGTTCTTTGCATTGTTTGTTGACAGGGGCGGTGGGGGAGGCCGCATCGGGTTGGCCGCGCATGCTGAGGCAGAGTGCGGCTTGCATTGTCTTTTGACAGGGATGGTGGGGGGCGGGCCCGCATGGAATCGGCATGGTTCGGGGTTGGCCGCCGGCCGGGTGGGGGAGGGGGTGTATCTTTAATCAGGAATATTGATAAACCCTTCCCCGAAAGGGAAGAGGGGCAGCTGGAAGACAAAACGTCCTAGACCACCTACGCCCTAAGGGCTGGTGGGATCAGTTGCCCTCTCGTACTGCTAGCCCTTCTCGCACCACCTGTTGTCTCATCAATACTGGTGTTGAGTGGTACCTGCCAATCAGTTAATTTCACCCTCCAGGCCCTGAGCAGTGCGCAGTCCAGTGTTTTTTCTGTACTCCCTTGTTTTGACCCTGCGGTGTGTGTGTGTGCCTCTCCCCTCGGCAGCGAATGTTGTGAGGGCTCTTGCAAGCAACGACAGCGCACACGCACACATTGAAGCAACGAACGGTGGGATGTCTTCATGTATGCTGCAACCGTGTACGCACTGAGGCAACGGATTATGTTGTGGATTGTGGGGTGCTTGGCGCGATGTATGTCGCAAGTTTGGGTGTAATGGCGCAGCCTTTGTGGAGCAATGGGTGGATGGGTGGATTGCACGGTGTCTGGCGCAGTACGGCAGATTTTGTTTAGGGTTGATTTACGGGGTGTAGTCGTTATCACTTTGCTACACCTTTGTTTTCCGCAGGACATGTTCGATGGGTCGCTCGTTTCTATGTTCCGCCATTCTGAGCGCGACTGTAACCTTCCATTATTATGTTTGCCTTTCCCCCTTTGCCGCCCCATTGTGTGTTGTTTCGGCTACATTGCGTATTGTTTCTTGGAGTGTCCAACGTGTCCTGGATTTCGTAGTTCCGGGCTTGCAATCTCTCAGACTCCATATCAAAGACGTCCGATTCAGCACGACCAGCCGTTCTTCTAATTAGTATACGTTCTGGTCTTTGGTTGAGGGTTCCATCTTGAATCTTGCACATGGAAAAAACTCCCCCGTGAGGACGATGACGACAACGATGAGGACTAGGACGAGGACGAGGACGGCGACGGTGGGAGCGTTCTTCTTTATTGCTTTGGGCATAACGGGCGTTCTAGGCCCCGCCCCCCCCCGATAACGTAACGCCCCCCCCCCCAGTGCGCCCAGGGCTCTGCCGCCGTGCGCATCGGGATCCGCATAGGCGTCCGCATAGGAATCCGCATAGGGGTCTGGTCCGCAATCGTCGCCGTCGTCGTCCTCGTCGCTCGCCGCTCATCGTCGTCGTGCGCGCGGACGCGGCTGGAGCCTGTTTTTTTTATTCCATGGCGATGACGGCCGTCATCTGGCGGGGAGGGGGGGGACCAGGCCGAGGACGTCACGTTTCTCGCCGGCGGCGTCTGGGAATGCTTAGGAAACACAGAGGACGGGTAGCAGCAGCATGCAGGTGGCGATACGCACCGCAGCGCCTGCGTACACCACAGTGCCTGCGTGCATCACAGCGCCTGTGTGCAGCACACAGCCTATGTACACCACAGCAGACGCGTGCAACACAGCGCCAGTGTGTGCCACAGTGCCTGCGGGCACCACAGAGCAAGTGTACACCACAGTGCCTGCGTACACCACATCAGCCGTGCGCAACACAGCACCATTGTACACCACAATGCCTGCGTGCACCACAGCGCCTGTGTACACCACGGCGCCTGTGTGCACCACAGCTTCCGTGTGCATCAGAGCACATTTGTTGCAGATATAGAATTCTAGAAGGAATCCTTGTGACATAATGCAGCGCCTTGGGATTCCACTAAAAACAATTGTTTTACATAGGATTTGGAAAGGGATCCTTATGGAGAAAGGAACGCCGCTGGAATCTACGAGTCCTCCCGCATCACCCTAACTCCTCCCATATGCGTCCAGGAGGTTCAAGCAGAATTGGCCATCCGACAACCAAGTGGATTGATTAAGTTGACCATTTTGGGGTGCGCGCTGAGATGCGCACGTGCGCTGTAGCGCCGACCCGCACGACAGCGGGGAAGAGTGAAGGAGGAGGAGGAGGTGGAGGTGGAGGTGGAGGAGGATGGAGGAGGGAAAAACGTCCTGTTCTATTAATTATCAACACTTTTTTGGCGTGGTGTTTGCCTGTCCGCAGCAGATCCTCACTTACATGCTCCTTCCACTTGTCATGTGCACGCAGGCGCTGTGGTGTATACCAGCGCTGGGTTGCACGGTGATGGTGTGCTATAGACAGGCGCTGTGATGTGCACGTGCGATGCGGTGCACGCAAGCATTGAGGTTATACAGGCGCTGTGTTGCACACGGTTGCTGCGGTGTACACATTCGCTGTGGTGTACACCGGCGCTTTGGTACACGCAAACACTGTGGTGTACACAGGCACTGCGTTGCACATGGTTGTTGCGCTGTACGCACGCGCTGCGGTGTACACGCGCGTTGTGGTGCACGCGAGCATTGTGGTGTACACAAGCGTTGTGGGGCAGATCGCCACCTGCATGCTGCTCCTACTTGGCCTGGGTCAGTCTTGGGCATCTCTGGACGCCGCCGGCGCGGAACGTGACGTCATCTGAGGGGGGGAAGGCGGGGTCGATGACGGCCGCTATCATGGAAAACAAAAAGACAGGCTCTTAGCCACATGGCGGGGGGGGGGCGTCACGTTATACCCCCGCCCCCCCCCCCCCCCTATACTGCCCACGATCGCCGAAAATAACGAAACGACGCGCTCGGGGGACGAGCAGTAAGACGCTGCCTAGCGAGAAACGGCAGAAACGGCAGGAGAGGGCAGGCAGCGCAGGAGGTGGAGGGTCATGAGGAGGAGAGGGAGGAGGAGGGAGGAGGACGAGGAGATGAGGGAGAAGGATCACGAGGAGGAGGAGGAGGAGGGGCAGCGACGAGGAGGGACCCCGCCCGGGCCAAGCGTGCCGGCGCGCGCTCCGCAGTGACCCGTTGGCGGGCGACGCCTTCCCGGGCGGCGAGGCCGGCCGCCGCTCCTGGCTTCTCTTTCGGGCTGCGGGGAGACGATCGTATCGTTTAAGTCGGGCTGCGGAGAGAGGATCGTATCGTTGAGTCGGGCTGCGGAGAGAGGATCGTATCGTAGTGAAAAAGTAGTCTGGGGACGACTTTTTTTGCTTTTTGGGGGTATTTGTTTCTCGCCCAAAATCCGCCTGTAGGGGGACATGCCCGACCTGATCGTATCGGGTGGGTGTCAACGGGGAGGGTCGTGTCGGGTTGCAGTGGGGCGGTGGTGTCGGGTGGATGCCAACGGGGGGGGGGCAGCGGGATGGGGGGCGGTCGAGAGCTGCAGGACAGTGGCCCCAGAGGCGTCCCAGAGGGCCCCAGAACAGCCGCCGCGGCCCCGCAAGGTGTTGAGAAGGTGCGCCCTGCTTCCCCGCCGCTGCGGTCTGCCCGATTGCAGCGGGGGGGCGGTTCGCAGCAGCAGGCACGGCATCTTCGCAGCCTGCCCGTTCGGCCGCGGTGCGGGCGCGGGCTTTCAAAATGTAAGGCCCCCGGCGGCCTCGGAGGACCCCCGAGGGCGGGAAAAACGTTTTTAAGATTGTCGAGTCAAGCGGTGGCATGCCGTACGATGTTGGCCGTAGGGGAGGGCTGTGGTGCTGTCTTTGGCGCCGTCTTCGCAGGAGTGGAGCAGCGCAGTTAGGCGTTGAACGGTTCTTCTCGCATGGTGTAACTAAGAGAGTGGCGGAAGTGTCGGGCCCACTTCGGCGGGCGGTTGGGTTCCTGGGTATTGGAGCCTGGGGGGTCCCGTATAACAAGGACGGTGCAAAAGTGTGTTGGATTTCGGTGGGCGGCCGGGCCTCTAGGCTCCCACCGATTCTAGTGGGTAGTTGGGTTCCTCCGTTACTTCGGTAAGAAGAAAAAAGGTTTAGCGAGGGGAGATAGCAGGGATGTAGCAGAAACGAAAGAATGCAGGCGAGTAGAGAGAGCACATACTGCAGAGTTTAGTTCCCAGAGTACTGGGCAGAGGGCATAGTTCAGAAATCAGAGAGCGCAGGGTAGAGAGCAAAGAGTGGAAAGCGAGACAAGAGATCAGCGGGAAGAACAGAGTTTAGCTCATGCCAGTCTGAAGAGGCTTCATGGTTGCCGAAAACTTGAGCGCGAGCCCGCGGAACAAGCGATGCCATCCATTGTATGTCTGACTTCGTCATTTGTCGCATGAGGAAGGCAGTCGTACCCGCAGGTTCGTGGCACTTCGCAATGGCAGCGCGGGCACAAGCGTGTCCAGGGGGGGGCGACAGCAAAGACAGTGGGAATGCGGGAGCGGGCAGGGGGAAGGCATCGGTGGCAGGAGGTGGAGAGGAGAGGAGGTGGAGAGGAGAGGAGAGGAGAGGAGAGAAGATGAGAGGAGGAGGAGAGGAGAGGGAGAGGATGAGATGAGATGAGAGAAGAGGAGGAGAAGAGGAGAGGAGAGGGAGAGGAGAGGTGATGAGAGGAGAGGCAGATGAGGGGCTGCAGCGGGAGAAGAGGAGGGGCAGGGGAGCATAAGGGAAGCAGGGGTGGGGGAGTTGCCGCAGCATGACCGGGACTTGTGGCGGCGAGCGGGAGGGGGAAGTGAGAAGGAGCGGGCCTTCTCAGAAGGCGGAGGGGCTTCTCAGAAGCCCTCGGGCCTTCTGAGGAGACTTCAGTACTTTTGGGGAAGGCTCAGAAAACTTCTCAGAAGGCCGAGGGGCTTCCGAGCCTCCTGAGTTGGCCCTCCCCCTCTCGCTCCCCCCCCGGGCGCGCCGCCGAGGGACAGCAGCCATGCGCACTCCCTCGCAACATTCCGAGCACGAGATCGACTACGGAAGTGTTGTTAGCGTCGGAGCAAATGCGTAGCAACCCCGCAATTGCCGATAAGAGTGAGAGGGCGGGCGCGGAGTGGGTCGTGGTTGGGTCGCGGGCGAGTCGCGGGGCGGGTCGCGGGGCGGGTCGCGGGTGGGTCGCGGGTGGGTCGCGGGTGGTCGTGGGTGGATCGCGGGCGGGACGACAACAAACAACAAACAACAACAAGAACAACAATCCGCACCGCGGAAGCCCAATTTCGAACAGGCACCCAGGGACAGTGAATGACCAGTCGGCCCCCTCACTCTGATGTAGAATGTTTTTCTGTATGTTTTTTCGCGTGGGTTCGACGACTATATTTCAATTTCAGGGTAAATCGATTAGGCCGTCGATCTCATGAACGAACACTTGGAGCAGCCGCCGCTGAGAGGGGCGTAATTACCGCTCCCCAGGTTGGCGCCCGCTGGCCGCCGCCATGTCGTCAGGGACCATCACTTCCTCCCCCCCCCCGACGACGAGGGGCGACGTCAGGGCGGGTTGGGCTCACGGGAGGGTGCGTCGACCCCCCATCGCCCATCGATCGCCGATGGGGGCCCGGCAGGCCTCAGCGCCCAGGAAAGTGCGGAGTCGTGCCCGGCGGCCTGATCAATCGGCGACGTAACGCCGATTCGAGGTCGATGTCCCCCCCCCCTGAGCCAGTCCCCCCTAGAGTTCCCTTCATCCTTCCGTCCCGACGTCGGCGACGGCACTCCTCTGCGGCGTGCGCTCGATGGTCGTCCCGCCGCTTGCCCACCGCCTCTCCCTGGCGCTCTGCCGCGCAGGAGCTCGCGCGCAGCCTCGGCAGCCAGAGCAGGTGGGCGCAGCCCGCTGACAAGCAGGCGCGGGCGACCAGCGGGACGAGGGCCGTGATGACGACGACGGAGACCACAACGACGACGAGTTGCGCACAGATCGCCGTGAATCTAGGTCTCTCAGATAGGATCCGAGTAGATGGGGTCGGAGGGTCGCGCCGTATCGCTGTTGCATTCGATGTGGATCCCGATGTTATCCACGCCGTCGGCGACGATACATCGCCGACGTCGCCGATGCATCTCGCCAATGCATCGGCGACGCATCGGGGATGCGGCGTGATCCATCGACCTCATCTACTCGGACATCACTGGGGAGGCCTCTGGTGAAGCGAAGGGCTCCTGAGGGGAATGGGCCCTGGGGTTCGTTTGCCATTTCGGCTTTCGGATGGAAGGCATTGGTGGCAGGAGGAAGAGCCAAAGGGAAGGAGAGGAGACGACGCGAGGAGAGGAGAGGAGAGGAGAGGCGACGAGGAAAGGAGATGGGAGGAGGAAGAGAGGAGAGGAGAGGAGAGGACTGGAAGGGAGAGGAGAGGAGAGGAGGGGCTGCAGAGGGGCTGTCAGGCCCCCGGGGGCCAGGGCGCACCCGCCGGGGGCGCAGAGAAGACAGCCGCGCCTCGCGGCTCGCCCCCGAGGGCCGTCCCTCTCGACGGGCGGCGCGAGGGCGCAGAAGCCTGGCGACCTGGGAGCAAGCTCGTACACCACTGGCCCACACACGAACACGCAACAGTGGCGCGAACACACGTCGGGGAACAAACCATGGGGCACAAGAGGTGCCCCAGCTCTGGGGAGCAGACGCTGGCAGAAGCACACATCAATTGCCGGAGGTCCGCGCGGATTGCCCAGATCGGAGCTGGGGCCCTTGGCGGCGCCTCCGGCGCCGCCCCTGGCACGCTCCGCGCGCCAGGGAGGGGAGTCCAGCGCCGATCTAAGAAATCCACGCGGGCGAAATGTGATTCAATTCAAGTTTATGTGATTTGTTGTTCTTTGGCCTCAGCAGTCCACCCAGTGGCAGGCTGAGGTGGTCTGATATTCTAATAGTTTTTTTGTCTCTGAGGTTTTTAAAGGGCGAGGAGGAGGAGGAGGAGGAGGGGGAGCATGAGGTGGAGGAAAAGGAAGAGGAAGAAGGATGAGAAGCAGGTATGAGAGGGGACTGTGAGTTACGCCTTTACCAAGATTAGGGGGTTCAGGGTGTGATTTATCGGAATTGTTGGGGGGAGTAGACAAGGACTAGGACCATGACGAGTGCCAGGGGGACGGAGAACGATGACGACAGAGATCGAGCAGGACGAGGACCAGGTCAGTGGACGAGTGTGCAAGTGAGGGGGGATTTCTGACAAGTTCGTTCGCGTTGAGGGCGAGCTCCAGACATGGCCCTATTCGAATTAGTACTTCGCCGTCGCCGTCCGCATCCCCCGTTGCAGTCGTGGTCCGCCCGTCTGCACCTCGTCGATCGCCGCCGTCGTCGCCGTCACCGTCGTCGTCGACACCGTCGTCGGCGTCGTTTCTGCGGATCTCTGCCGCTGTCAACGGGTTGCGTGTCAGCCAAGGTTGAATAACTGACCGAGTAATCGGATAAGCGCGGTGGACGGAAACATGTCAAGTTACGCGCATCTGGATCATAACGTGCGTCGGCTGGGACAGACCACGCGCGACGCACGAGCCCCCCTCGAACCAGCGTTGACTTGCCACTTGTGCCACTCGCTTGGGGGATAAAGTGCGCCCGGGCTCAACGTTGAATGTGGAGGGGGATCCCGATACTGGTGCCAACTAAATGTGGTTGCCATTCGACGTGTTTGTTACGCTTGCCTTCCACCATTTGTGATTTGATGTCTCGCCGTTTTACGATGGTTTGCGTCTTGCGAGTGCTCCGTGTCCATGTTGTCGCATTTGCCGTCGTTGCCAGCGTCGTCGGCGACAACATATGCACATTTGGAAATCAGGTGAGAGAAGTATCGCTTTCGACCTACAGTCGAAACCGAAAGTAAGGATGTGTAACCTTCTCAAGGGTACCGTTGCGTCCTTGCCTCCTCTGTCCATCCTTAACCCCTTGCGATGGCCAGTCCCGCTCGAGAAGCTTCGACGTGGGCGTCCAAGGGGCTCGCATACTTACCACGCATCCTCACTATCAGTTTTGAGCAGGGACCAGTGAAAACCCACGGGGCCCGGCAGGCGACCCCGGATCTTTCTAGAGTGTTCACGATAGGGGTTCCGGAGCGGTTCTGCGAGCGGATCTTGGGTTGCATTGGTGCAAACCGAAGTGTGACGGCCTTCGTATCGCATCGTTCGTAGTATTTGAAATAGTCTTCGACCGACAGTCTACGTAGCATAGGACTTGCATTTGACCGTAGCATACGACAGCCTTCGATCTCCAGACAGCCAGTCGTATCGGAGCAGTTGAAATGGGCGGCGTACGTGGGATGGCACGCCGCACTGCATCCCAGCATCCTACACCATGCAATAGCATGGTGCAGCATGTTGCATAGTCCATGCAACCCCTCGCACTGCTGCTCATTGACCTCAGTCATCCTCATTAGCTTGCTCCTTGCTCAAGCTCCCTCCTCCTCCACATCCATCACTCCTTCTTACCTCCTCATCTTCCTTTTCCTTGTTTCATCATGCATCCTCCTCCCTAGTCCTGATCCCTCTCTCCTCCGTTCTCAGAGCTTGGTCTTCCTTGGCCAGAGCTGACCTGGACGGAGGCGCGGTTGTTCGTTCCAGCTCTTGCCATAGGAGCAGGGGTCCGCTCCTCATCATCCATCCTCACCCCCACACCCCTCCCTCCTCACATCGGTGGCGAAATCCGAACCCCACCATCGACGATGAACGATTCAGGCAATTCGATGGGCTGCGAGGGTAGGGTTCGGAATTTGTCGAACCCGTGGCGAAATCCGAACCCTGCCTTGCCTCCCATCGATTCAGGAGAATCGATTGTTGGTGGGGGTGGAGTTCGGATGCCGCCACCTATCCTCCCTCCTCGGCGCTCAGCCCTCTTCCCTCCCGCTGCTCCCGCCTCCCTCCCTCCCCTGCCCTTGCCCTCCCCAACGGTGGGCGCGGTCGTTCGCCCTTCGCGCCGCTGGTGCGCGTGCTGAGGGAGAGATGCGCGCGGGCGTTCCAGGTGATACTGCGCGGGGGCGCGCCCTGCAGGCAAGAAGCGGCGGCGTGCCCAGGGGGGAGTGCAGAGGGGAGGCAGGCCTTCTCAGACGGCGGGGCTTCTCAGAGGCCCTCCAGCCGTGCGAGAGGCCCTCGGTGCCTTTGGAGACGGCTCGGCAAGCTTCTCAGAAGGCCAGCGGCCTCCTGAGCTTTCTGTGAAGGCCCGCCGCCTCTGCCTTCCCCCTTGGGCGCGCCGCCGAAGGAAGAAGATGAATCACTCCAAAGCTCGCCAGAAGGCTCTCACAGCGTTCCGGAAGAACGCTCTGGGATGGCCAGTGGCCCGCGCTGCGTCTTCCCGATCCGCCGGTTCCTGGAGATTCTCGACATCTGTCATTCCGATGCTGTCTTCTTCTTGCCGTCGCATCAGGCCTCACCTCACGTTTCACCCCTCTCTCCGGGGGCCGGCACGAGGGCACCCGAACATTCGAGCTTCGCAGTTCGCGGTCTGCTCCCCTCCTCCACGTTCCCCATTCTCCTGGTCCTCCTCTTCTCCTCCTGGGGGCTGCGCTAGAGCGCGAAGTTGTTCGCGTTCCGCGCAGCGCGAAGCGCGAATATAGCTGCCCTCGTCTCCCACTGTGTGCGAAGATGTCGCGCTGACTCTCGACACGTCCTCCAGATCCGCCAGCTCCCGTATATTCCGGGTGTATATCATCCCGATGTTGTCTTCTTCGTGCTGTCGTTCCAGGCCGCACGTTTCACCACTCCCCCTGTAGGATATGTGGATGGTATGACGGTGGTGAGCCAGCGCCTTCCTGGTATGTATTGTTTCTTGTGCCTGCGGTGCCCCACGGGGTGCGAAGATGCCGCGCTGTCTCCGGGAGTGGAGCGGCCTGCGGAGGCACGTTCCGTTGATCAGTCCTGAAGATGGCTTGTCTCGACGCTTTGTTTAATCGTTTCAGAGAGCGGTGCAGGTCTGGGCTGAAAGAAGCTGCAAGATCCCACCAGCCAGCGTGGCAGTTCTCTGACGCCCCGCCCTGCCGCGGTCGATTAGCGTCCTGAGAGTTTTTGCCCGTGTTCAAGATATTGTGGGCATCGTTCGTGTCCTTGTGTCATGCATCTTCGTCTCGCTGTCCAGTGCCCTCATGATGCTTCTCCTTTATCCTCGAGATAAATCTCGGACGGGGCTAGGACGAGGATAAATCCGTTCCAGAGCGTTCCAGATCGCTGTCAGAGCGTTCACGCTCTGAGAAGGCCGCGGCGTCCGAGACATCCTCCAGAGCCGCTGGATCTCAGAGATTCTCGTTTTATCCTCATGTGAATTTACCATCGCCCTTGCTGCGTCTGAAGATATAGGGAGGGGGCGAAGAAGCGGACGAGGACGAGCCCGAACGGCACGACGAGAGAGGGTGGGGAGCGTCGACGAGGGCAGGGAAGAAACTGAGCACGTGCACGACCAGCCCCAGAGTCAGATCCGCAAGCCCGAGCGCACCCGCGATCGGCCCCCTACCCCCGCCCAGGGCATCTACGGGGAAGGTCAGAGGATGAACAGGTACCCA